CACAGTGCTGCTCTGCTACAAAAAGTTAATGGCTGAAGGACCTAAAATACAAACATAAGGCCTAGCCCAGGGTGAAGGGATTGGAGCTTCAGATTGGGAACCAACTACCAGGCCCTTTGCTTGACCTTGCTCTTCCTCACATGCATAAAGAGAGGGGAAAAAAACCCACAAGAGTCAACAACACACATCAATAGGTGTGATCCTCCAACACTTGGAGTGAGTGAGGAGAGGCTCATATGGTCTTTCCATGCTGTAGACATGGTCCAAACTCTCACAAATATAATAGAATCATAGGTTTGGGTTGGAAGGAACCTTTAAAGGTCATCTAGTCCAACCCCCCTGCAATGAGCAGGGACATCTTCAACTAGATCAGGTTGCTCAGAGCCCCATCCAGCCTGACCTTGAATGTTTCCAGGGAAGGGGCATCCCTGGAAATATCAAGCAGGTACATCTCCACCACCATCAGTGGAGCCACAGAGAGCAGAGCCAGCATGTCCACAGGACTGTGGTCCCACTGATTTATCTAATTGCATCATTCCTTCCTCCTCTAATTCTAGAGAAACCACAATCCTCTAAGGCAACAGGAATGGTTTCCTTTCCAAATTAGATGGTGGGCATCCACAGCCACTGCAACCCTTGCAGATGGAGTGCTCATGCTCGCAAAATCAAGCTTGCATGAAAGTGTCACCATTGCCCCCACCCTTTGCAACCATTCACATCAGAAACCGTGCAAAGCGTATTGTCCCTTACCCTCTTCGAAAAGCCTTGCTAGGCCAGGGCACTTCACAGACAGAGTGCATTTTGTTCAGGGCTGAATCCAATTACATTTCTCCTGGGCTTCAAAAGCACTAAGAAGCCCAAAGATGACGTCCACCGAAATTCCTCCCATCTGTGCTGCTAGTTCCAACAGGAGAGTTTTCTCTGAACCTGCTGTGGATACACTTCCCTATCCCAGTTACATGCAAAGGTCCCTTCACCTGCTTTTAGGAGACAGAAGAAACTATTTATGTCAACCAGAAAAGAAAAGGCTCTTCTCTAATGCATCTACAGATCAGGCTTTCCTGTTATTCTCGGCCTCTTACACGAACACATAAAGCCAGAGCGATTCAGGCAGGTGATGGAAAAATGGGTGTAACCTTTGAAGCTCTTTGGGAGTCAAACAGCTGGGATAAAGCAGCAGAAACCCACTCACGCCAGGCAAGGAGAGCACCGTTTCCATTAAACACAAACATCAGACCTCGGCAGCGTTAGAGACACCATCACCAGCTGATGCAGCATCCGAAAATCGGTTGGATTTGCTTTCAAGATGAAGGCAAGCATCAGCAAGGAACCGGTTTCTCCCCACTTACCCCAGATATCGACGAGACAGAAGCACTCAGGAGCAAACGTGGAAGGTAATGCAACCCATGGGCAGCATCCCTCAGTGAAGAATCAGGCTCTGGGATTCAACTCACTCTGGCAGAGTATCGGGGCACTTTGCAGAGAACAAGGACTTGTCTTTAAGAAGACAAAAAAAAAAAAAACAAACCCCAAAAACCAGGCTTAATTTAAATTGTTTTGCTTCCTTCTGCTCACAGTACACATCCCGAGGTTCTTCCATTCCCTCTGACATATTAATATCTCGGCCGCTTTGTTTCATGTTTGCATAAGGTTCTTGGGGAATTGTATACAGATGGGACAAAAGGAAGAAACAGATACAGTATTTATAATTTATAGTGGTTTGAAATGTCTTTCAAGGTCTCCTTGGCTCTTAAAGATATGAATATAAATTAAGAAACAAGTAATCTCCACAGAGCTCAGGGGAGCCTGAAGTGGTTGTCTTTGAAGCAGTTTTCATTGTTGGGTACTATAAAATGCAAACACTGTCTCACCAGACCTTGCGCTACAGACCGCAGAGACGAGAATAAATAAGGGATCTTCAACATTTGGACAAAGTGATGACCTCCGAGTCTTCAGGTTGGAGGGTGGGGGGAATAGATCCAAATAGGCAATAACTGGCAAGGGTCTGTACCCTGGTCCTATGGGGTATCACACAGCTGTGACGGATGCACACAGCACCTCCTTCACGTCCTCTCAGCGTGTAACTGAGACACCCTCGAAAGCCACATCCACTTTGTCTGCCTTCATCTACCACATCATCTGGATGTGCCACCAGCGAAGAAAAAGATGTCATTCCTTTTATATGAACTGAGAAAACAAAACATGAACCCAGAGTTTCGATCCCAATACTGCTGAGATCTCATGGTTAAGACTCTGTTAAACTCTGTTCCCCAAATGAGATGTTTCTGCATTAGAGGACAGCTGAAGCATGACCACACAGCCCATGCTGCCCATCTCTAGCATCTCACACGGCCTAATACCTGCTCAGTTTGCAAGTGACAATCCACCAACAGTTTGCAAGTCCACCGGCATTTCCAAGGGCATGGATGAGGAAAATCATCCTAGAATTAGTAAAGCCAGAAAACTTGTTTGGAGTTGGCAATCCTGAGAGGAGAACAGGTTTCAGTATTTTCACAGCTATCTAAACACGCCAGTGACAGCTTACACCCCAGAGTTTCAGATGCAGTGCAGACAGATGGTCCAAGAAGTGACATCCCTCATCATTCATAGTGATGTTACCACGCACCTTTCCAATACAGGACACAGGGGAGATTAATTAATAAATGCACACCTTTTTTTCCATTAAATCCCCTGATGTTGTAGGCAGATGTAAAGTCCCACTGCCTTGCAGAATAACCTGGGATGCGGAAGCCAAGTTAGACCTTTCCTAGATCATAACCAGTGGGGCCCGAGGCACATGGAAAAGGTGTCCCTCTGCTTAAATTTTCCTTTTTTTTTTAACTTTGCAGGTGGCCGTGTCTTTGCTAACCCCCAGGACTGTGCCCAGCACCTGATGAACGGAGACACGCTGAGCGGCGTCTACACCATCTCCATCAACGGGGACCTCAGCCAGCGGGTGCAGGTGTACTGCGACATGACCACCGACGGAGGCGGCTGGATTGTGAGTAGCCGTGCGGTCGTCCTACGCGTTGTCCCCATCAAGAAATAACCAAGCCTCATCCTACCAGCAAATCCGAGCGCCACACCGCGCGGAAACGACAGCAGGCTTAATACCGCACGCTTCATTTCCCACGCCGTAGGGAACAGCCCATGCTCCAGTAATAATAGTTTCACTTGGAGAAGTGCCCTTTGATTTATTTGATGTGTTTGCAGTACTTCTGGAAAGCAAAAACCTAAGAGTGAAGATGATTTATTGTTCCCGAAATGAAATTAATGGCCAATAGCTTTCATGGAGAATGATTCACACTGCCTGCAGTAGGAGGGTGTCAGGCATCACCTGGATTGAGTCTGCACAGGAGCGTTTTAGAGGAAAATGCCTGTTTGGCTTTTGAATTGCACAAACACTGCTTGTCTTGACGGAGGTGGACTGACAACTTAAGTAAATAATGCTCTGGTGCTTTGATTTTATTCGTGTCAAATGCTTACTTACACGCATTACACAAAACCTCACTAGATGCATAGTTCAAACAAAAAAAATTGGGCTTGCTGAAATGCTGATTTATAGCACAGATGTTATTTTAGCCAAGAAATTTTCCTCCATCTCATAGAGTCATGGAATGGTTTGGGTTGGAAGGGACCTTCAAGACCATCTAGTTCCAACTCCCCTGCTGTGGGCAGGGACACCTTCCACTACACCAGGTTGCTCAAAGCCCTGTCTAACTTGGCCCTGAACTCTTCCAGGGATGGGAGCGATCATCTCACTCTGCCTCAGATAACCTCTTGGATATCTCAGGAAAAGCCAGTCGTAAGCTCAATCACATGCTAGAAAACCTGAGCCACCACGCACTGGGTGGAGCGGCAAGCTTGAAGGCTGATTACTTCCTATTATAACATTGGTTTGCCTTGGACATCATCTAACATCTCTTCAGTTTCTCCATCTGCACAGGAATTAATTGCATGGCTGCCATTAACACTAACTGGATGGGCACCGTAATTTTCTCTCCTGAAAGGCACTATGGAAAGACAAACTATTGTCTTTATTTTGTGTGCCCCAAAGCCCAGAGAGGCCATCCCTCTTCTCCTTCACACTGATTTCCCCCTGGTCTTCCCCCACCACAGGTCTTCCAGAGGCGGCAGAATGGGCTGACTGACTTCTTCCGGAAATGGGCAGATTACCGGGTTGGCTTCGGAAACTTGGAGGATGAGTTTTGGCTGGGTAAGACCTTCACCGGTTGTCTTTTGTCAACACGCCAAAAATCTGAGCTCCCTGTGCATTGTGCTGCTTGCCTGTGCCTACTGTTGGCTCCTCGCCTTTCATCTCACTCCTCTACACTCTTCCTTGGACAGTTTTCCTTCTATTGTTTGTTCCTTGCCCTGCACATTAGAAAGTCACTCATGGGCACACCACATAAAAGTACATTGTGAAGGCCAGCAGCTCCCTAATTCACTCCTCCTAGAAGAGAAGGGGGGACGCTGGAGTTTTCATGAACCAAAACCCGTCATCCTCCTTTGGATGACTACAGGTTTGATTGGTGGCATTGACATGGACCTTACCTTCACCACCAAGCCAGCTGCCCAAAGAAAGTAGGACAGGGGTGAGTGGGAGACCCAGCACAGCTCTGAAATGGAGTGTGCTCCCCCAAACCCTGAACATGAGCCAAGACCAGCCCTGCAGCGTAAACATGCTCTAGCTTGTACAGGAGCTTAACAGCAACTTGAGAAGCACGAGGGATCTACAGCTGAATTCCCCCAGCTTCAAGCAGCATGGAGAAAGCTGAACCTGGGCCTTTGAACCCACCTCTTGTAGCCACAGAGAGGTGAAGTTTGAGTGGAGACAGACAGCTCAGGCGCCACCAGTGCCAAGAGAAACAAAGACTTAACCAGAAGTTCTGCTGCTCTCCGATCCCTCTCCTCGCTCTCATTTCCCACAGCTGTTTTATTTGCTTAGAGCTTTTTTTTGTTTGCTCACGGAGCGGATCCAGGCACCAGGTCTCACCGAGTGTCTCGCTGCTTGTCTCGCCAGGCTTGGACAACATCCACAAGATCACAGCCCAAGGGCGCTACGAGTTGCGAATAGACATGAGGGACGGCCAGGAAGCGGCGTACGCCTACTACGACAAGTTCTCCATCAGCGACTCCCGGAGCCTGTACAAGCTGCGAATCGGGGACTACAACGGCACTTCAGGTACAACGCCGGTGCTAGTGAGTGGTAGGGAAATCCTGGGAATGGTGAGGTTGAAACTGTGAAGGAAACCCCAATATCAAAGCTTATTTTTCCGGAGCAGCAAGATGCAAACCCAGAGCCCTTCCTGCAGTCTATCATGTAAACCAGGCTGATAAATCCCACTAAGGACACAGGGAATTTTCCATTGGGGATTAGATATTTAATATTAGAGACATCGCTGTTCAAATAACCACGTCAGTCGTCAGAGGTGTCACCTCACTTGGCAATAACCAGAGGGTGTATTTATCACTCTCCCACAGCAATGGAAAAATCTGCAATCCTCTGCATCGTTTCCTCGTGCAGAGGCCAAACGCCGGCCGGTTTCACAAGGACAACGCCACACCTGCTTGCTCGGTTGATGCAGCAGCGCTGGGCTTTGCCCACCAGAAACCAGTGGGCAGTGGGTGATGGAGGGAGGGCATGGGGGCCTCTTCGCCACGAAGATGGAGAGGGGTAGAGCTGCAGCCCCTTTAGCTGGGATAGACATGCCCAGTGCAAGCCTCCATGATCTAGACAAAACTTCACCACCATGTGCTTAGCAAGGAACCCCACACCATACCTAAGACGCAGGAATTTTCCTATACAATATCTGCTAGTTGCCACTGGAAGAGAAGTGACAGGGGTCTTGGTTCTGTGCAACACAGCACTTGCTCTGACCTTAAGTCCCAGGGCACGAGGCACCCAACCTATGGCCAAAAATGCCAGTTACAGCCCTGCAGGCACGACTCCCTCCCCTTCCCCATGCAAGCTCTTCTTCTAGCCATCCAACCAAGAAGCTTCTGCTCGACCTTGAGCAAAGGCAGCCAAAGCTCACCAAATGGTTCTTTGCCAAGAGGTTTTCTAGCAAGATTCTCAGTGGCTGGACTACACACAGCTAGCACAGGTCCACTTCGTATTTTCTTAGGGACCACCAAGGAGCATATTAAGAACGTCTCCTGTTAGTACATCACTCAGTTGTAATAATGACCATATGTCACTCCAGCTCTTCTTTCACCCTAAAGCAGCTCTCTTGCTGCTTAGTAAGGAGGGGGGATGAGGTTGGTGGTTCTGGTGGAATAAGACATCACACGCATTCCAAAAGGTTCTTCCCCTTATCCAAAGGGAGAAAAGAAGGCCAAGCATCTCGGCTCAAGAGGCGAATGCTTGGCCTCCCTTTGGCTAACAGGACAGAAGGAGGCTGAAAGCACCCTGAAGTTATGTAGCAGAGCCAGGCTTCAGGAAATCAGGGGTGCCCAAATCTAGGATTTAATTCATTTCTGAAACACTGAAATTCAGATCCAAAACCATATGGCATTTTATCTGCCAAACGCAAGCAGCCTCTAGGATTTGCTACGGTCTGTACTGATCCTAAACCGACAGCAGAGGACCTCAGA